GTGCATTGAATTAAAGTGCGAATCAGAGATGCTGGAATTATTGGAATCGAGAAGCATCTATTTTCTTATATATTCAACAACCTCAGATTCAAGGACATGGCGTCATTATCCTTTCCAAGAACAGCTTGCAGAGATTATCTGTGCAAACAATGGGGGAATTAAGCAAGTTTGCTCGGCTGACTCTTTGCTTCCCTTGTATCTCTCGGGGATTTCTTGTACCTCTGCGAAATCCAATTGGTAAATTGTATAAGTTTTCAGAGATGAAAAACCCTTCATGTCGGTGTAGAACTTTCAATGGGAGTCTCATTAGTTGGGTTTTTTACACTAATCAAGCACTCTCTCTGTATTGGGTAATTTAACATCCCACTCGTGGTGCGGGAGTCGCAGTGAAAGAGCATTGAAGACTGACTGGGGGGCCACATAAATTGATTTGGAATGAAATGGCGAAAATATACCCAGCGAAAGGGAATGAAATGGGTGCGAAAGGAAGGCAGCATTTATCGTACTTTATGTTCTACACGTGGTTGTCCAGTAATATACAGGATGTGGGGATCCTTCGGGCCTCCAGGAAGCAAAGAGAGAGAGAAAAAAAATTACCACCACTCACACTGGGGTTGGAGTTCCAATTCGTTGAGATGGAAATGAAAGGTTCTAAATATAATGTAATTAATGTTTCTCGATGCTGGTGAATGAATTTTATGGGAAAATCATCAGCTTTTCTCCGCCACACTCTTCCTGCCTCGTCTTTCAACCTAATTCCCTGCGGACTCTGATGTGATGCCCATTGATCAATTTCCGCTATTTCCAAAGAATGCCCCAAACCCACCTTCTTCGCATTCCATCACATATTGGGGCGCCCATGCTGTGGTCAAAATTGCGACGGCAGGAGGAAAATGCCTTCTTGCGAAGTCTATGAACTTTCTTTATGGGCGAAAAAATATCTCTGAATGTCGAAATGAAGGCGACTTCAATATCTTATGGAATAATTGAATCTCATTACAGTCACTGAAATTGCTTGGAACTTTATAATGAAATTCAAGGTATGCTTTTCATCAATTCCATCCCTGCCACATCAACTTTGTCGGCACTCACACTGAATGTGCACAAATATCTCTTCCACGCGCAATGAAAAATAATATCAGTCTCGTGGAAATAATAAAATTATTCCGCAATGGAGGAAAGTTATTAAATAGCAATGAAAGGTGTTTCTATTGCCTTTTGAAGTGGAGAAGAAAAAAGCTGTGAAAGCTGGCTAAATGCAAATATGTAGATAAGCGATTGAAAAGTTGGAGATGGTTGAAAAACAATTTTTCTCTTCCATTTTTTCTGCATTCTGCACTTGAAATCGAGGTTTTTGCTGGATTTTGCGCGCTTAATTGCTCGAAAATTGAAGAAGTCAGCTTCAGATGGTTTCACAGAGTTTTCCTCTCTAGTGGCTGCTTCTGCACAGAGCAGCATGTGAACCTCTCTCTCTGGATATTGATTTGATTTGATAAATTCAATGAAAAGTGTATGTTCTGGTAATTTGATTTTCAGCAAAAAGGGACGAGGAGAAGCTCAGCTGTGGCGATATTTCACACCATATCGATACGGTGCCCAAGAGGGAAAAAGCCCTCGGGAGAGCGTGGAAAGTGCACAGTGGAAAAAGCACGAGTTAAAGGGTGAAATTAATTTCAGCATTTGATATTCTGGTCCATGGATAAATAATATTTGTAGTGGCTGCTGCCCCGCTTAAAGGACGGCCAATTTACGAGTCTATCTGACTTGAATTGATAACCTCAGCATAAATGGTGGGAGGTGCGGTTTGACTCCCTGGGGAACCTATTTAATTGAATGGTAAGTGATGTTATAGCATTTTGATGAATTCACATGGCAACATAAACGGAAGTGCCTCACATTATGGCGCATGAAATACCAATTCACTGTTGTTTGCACTCAAATGAACGTGTTTGAGAATATAAGACACTTTACTGAATGGATAAGAGGGAGGATCAACATTGAACAATTTTCGGGTGATGCTTTGATGGAGAGTTTGTGGAGGAAAGTTTTCCACTCTTTGACTCCGTTCTGGGAAAAGCTCCCCATCAAAGCTCTCGGGTGCATTCTATGACGTTAAGATAAACATGTTGACAAGACTGAGTGATTTATTTGAGAGATGAGCGTGCAGATTTGGAAGAAACTTTTCACACTTAACACACATAATACGAAATGTTTTTATCAATTACCATGGAAAGCTTATGAATTCATTTACACGCAAAGTATGATAAACCGGAGAGTTTTGTTGAGTTATATTGTTAATCAAATAACTCTAGACGAAATATTATATCTCTAAATAACGTTCAACTTTAATTCAACACAGAAGACAAATTCAAACTGAGAGTTTTCAGTGGAAAGGGAAATGCCAGACGAGTTCTGGGTTCTGGAAAATGGAAATGCAAGAAGAAATCACGAGGGACGTTTGTCTTATATGTTTAAGAATGCACTTGTGCGGGAAGATGCAAATAGTTTGCGAAGCAAAGCTCTATATTTAGATTGAATTATTGGTCTTGCAGCGCACTTTCTCGGGTACAATTAATTAATCATTTTATTTAGAACAGAATATTAATCAATGTGCGCTGACATGTTGATAGAAGCTGTAGTTAAAATAATTCGAAAGCACCCAGCGAAGAGGTGTGATAGATGAAAGCTCAAGATTGCAGCTGTGGGTAAACAGGATAATTCGTCCCTCAGTCTGTCATTGAGGTCTCCTAAATCCATCCTATTGAGGGGTGGTCAAATCCAGCCGAGGGACCACAGGTCAGGAAATTGTGGCGGAATTAATTAAACTCCACGTCAGATTTCGCACAATGTGAGCTTAATTTCGCCTCCCGCGGGGAGAATCAAGAAAATTACCATGCGAATTCCATAGACACCGAATTTTCCAAAAGCCTCCCCCACCCCAAATATTATGAATTTTCGCGCAGGATGCAATTAATTATTAATGCGCCTTTCTTGCTCACGGTGGATCTCATTAGTTGTGATGGTTCAATGTATTCTCCCCAAAGGGTTGCTGAATTCCACCACCTCCGCCCGCCCATCGCCCTGTCTTCATTAGTGCACGACACAATTTGAGGTATTTCCCACGAGTTCGTGGCAACAAATTGCTTGATTGCAAGTATTTCCCTCTTGGCGAGATAATTATGTGTTTTTAAATAGAGGGCAAGTGCAACTGAATTTTTTATTAGCACCCAAACGCGGGGTGCAATTGTGTTGTATCTGTGTCGTGTGAATGTACTCTCTGGCACAATTGTTGCATTCGGAATTTATGTCATTTCCACTGGAAACTTCCCCATCTCGGCCGTCGTGGAGAGCTTATCTCTGGGCGAATGCATAGCATATGAGAGTTCATGTCGTGTCCGATATTTTGCTGTTTCTGGCGGTTTACAAATTTCCTATTTGTGGCTTTCATCTCCAATACATGAAATCACGTCGTGGAGCTGAACGTAAAGCGGACATTTGGATGGATGAAATGAAATGATGTATTTCTATGGCACACCGCAAAGGGAAAAAGAATGACAGGGAGATAACCATCGAGCAGGCAGTTAACAACTTGATGCATGGCAGTGTAATTAAAATTGTGATTTAGCAAGTTGCTCTGAAATTGCTGGGATTTATCACACACACAACCTACATTAGTTTTTTTTTTCCACACAACGTGCTTTAAAGTCTTCCATTGTGCATCAAATGTTGCAATTTTGGGAGCACATTGAAGCTGATTTGGCTCTTTTAATGGATTCTTTCGCCAATGCAGTGCTGAATAGAGAATTTTCTTCAATTACCAGCCAAGTAGTTCAATTTACTCTCTGGCTTTGGAAGTCGAAATTCAATAGTTGACCAATGAATTCAACACCACTCGTGGAATATGAGATTAAACCGAAGTGGGTGCAGAAGTTAAGTTGGAAACTTTCAGGCCACTCTAAGAGACTTATTGTGTTGCATGAAATGTGGTTGAGGTCAGGAGGTAATTTAGAGATGGTGAACAGACCGGATGGCTTGGCCAAACATTAAATTTTCCGAAACGTGAAAGTTCACAAAGCTGGAGATTTTGCCCAATTCACTTTCGCACTAATTTAATAATTCGACACTTTCGAGCAAAAAGCTCGACAGCCAACGAGATGGGATGGAAATTCATCAGTGTTTATTATTAATGGATTTCCCCTATTAAATTGTTTAATATGCACATATTTATCGTGTGTGGAATTTTAATTTGCTATATTTGACAACCTGGCGGAGATTTTAATTGAAAAAAAAACACGTCCTCTTCAGGCGCTTTGTCGCACGCGAAACAAGCCGTGAAAAATTGATGAAAATGGTACTCATTGAATTCATGCTGTGTTGTTGGTTTCACCCACAAATATGAGTGGGATTTCTCGTATGGCAGATACTTTGTGTGCACGACTGGCGAAGGAAATCAATTTGAAGATGAGCTTTGCATCAATTATTGCATCAAATGGACTTTTAATCCGCGCTGCGGGGATTTTTTTTGTCATGACGGGAATAACATAGCAAAGTAAAGTGTAATCTCATGAGGATTTCGGTGGGTGGCTTTGGAAAAATGTTTGAATAAAATTGTCGTAATAACTTGTTGATTTTCTCCTGTTTTTTCCAAGCACACACACACACACATCACAGGGTGGATTGTTCTGAGTGTTTCGGGGAAATTAAACGACAAATATATGTCTCTTTGGGAAGCAAGTCACAAACGCTTTTTATTGCAACAACACGATTGCGTCACATTGTCAGAAGAGAAGGAAGAAAAACACCACATTCCGAAGCTCCTTATGTGAAAACACCCTTTTTTCCTTTCTTTGGGATGTTTTTCTTTTGGTTTTATTTCCTCCTCCTGTTTTTTATTCCTAGAACGCACTTTAACCCTTCGTGAGGCGAGCGTGAGGAATTCCTAAGGGAGGTCCTTCGTTTTCTTGTGGGGGTGCTAAGACAAATAATGGCATATATCGTACCGTGCTATCCAAATATCCCGTTGTAAGAAGCTTAATGTCTACTTCGATATCCATGGTGATAAAGTAATCCTGTTTAGTGCGTCCTGAGAGCTGATTTATGCATTACAATCAGAATCGCACATTCGCAATTTGCCGAACTTCCGATGATCCACCGTGAATTCATCTACCATCTCTTCCAAATCACAAACACTTCACCGGGAGATATTGGGCGCAAGAGTGGCAAAGGGGTTCCTAAAGGTTCCAGAGCTCATTCACTATAGCACCATATTATTAATTCTTTGTTCCCGCGTCGAGGCTACTTTTCACCTCCAAGATATTGCCTGGCTCGAAACACACTCGGAATTACCATAAAATCCTCATTCACTCCCAGCCTAGCATAGCGCATTGGCTCTCACATTGCTCACAGTGCAACCACCTCGGCATTTCCGTGTGCGAAAGAGGATGTTGCAATTGAGGTTACGGTAAAAATTAGAATAAATTGCAAGTAATTTCTTTGTCACAACCAAGAACTGCTGAGGGTTTCTCTCTCACTTAGCAATTGCCTCCAACTCCGCCTTGAGCTGCACAACTGAACTTGAACGTTCAAAAGTTCATCACACACTAACGGTTGGCCGTTCAATCCGCCAAGAGCTTTCGCACACCAATCACACACACATACACCCATTCGTCATCTGTGTGTGCAGGGGAAGTTTTCACCCCCTCGAAGCGCTCTTCTCCAAGTACACTGCTAAAAAGGCGCCGGCAAAAGGGTCGAAAGCTCCTCATGCAATATGCATATGGTTACCTCTTTGAGGGTGAAACGAATTCAATCCGATTATACTTCAATACTATTGGGTTAAAAGGCTTTTGGGGATTTATCATGAATCGGGCCAAAATTGGCAAAGCCAAAATGTTCAATTTTTCGACTGTATGCTCAATTATGGGCATAACATCTGCATGAAGGACGTTTTCATGTTGCTTTACAGCATTTTCCCCGGCAAAATTGGGAAATTGTATCACCGCTATAATGTTTGACCATCCCAGAATCATTGTCTGCGGAGAACCGCGAGGACAAAGCAATTTCACTCTGCAATTCACTTAAATTTCAGTGCTCACGCAGCCTCGTTGCTGTGTGCATTGGATGTTATAGGATTTTGTTCAATTTATTGGAGATAAACCGCAAATTTGCCAATTGACCCTTTACGATCAGAAAATATTATTGGTTTTGTTTATTTTCGCCACCAAAAGTCAATGAAATTTTTCTTATGAAAGCTCAATATAGAATGACCGAGAGCATATCTAACGAAAGATTTGCGGATTTACAGCGGAGACTCCAGAATTTCCAGGGCTTCTTTAAAGCCGAATGGGACAAGGATTAAATACATACATTTCACACCCTGATAGCTTTTGCAACTCTGTGACTCCATGGACATCACGTTTGATGGAGAATTATGCAGATTTAGAAGTTATTTGCGATATGTACATTATATTCATGTATTTTCCAAGCACTTCATGTGTGAAATTGTCGAATTAGCAATGGATTGTTGAAGGGGAAACAGTATTCATGAATTCATATCCCTTTTTGTATCAATCAACCCATTTTTTCCCCCTTTCGCTAAAGTGTTTATACTGCGTGATTGAGAGCTTCTATTAAAAATTCAAAACAGCAAAAGTTAAACGTATTATTCAATGAAAAAAAAGCTCTTTGCAGCACCCCAACGCGATGCATTTGGCGAGTGAAGATGATTGTGGGGATATGAAGTGAGATAAAAAGTCCATTATGTGCACGCCAACAGCAACCATATTCGATATTTCTCAACCACCGTCCCATTACATCTATTGCAGTCCATTATTGGCATTTATGAGTTTACACATTCTAAAGGCTTTTGTGCTGTGATTCTTCACATGTCAATCTCACTTCTATATGCATGGTAGATTGGTTTGGAAGCCCTGTGTTATTTCACGGCACAACTCTTTCCGAAATGGGATAATTACGCCCCAATAATGTGTAGTTATTTAATGTGTTAAGCGGCCGAAAAAGCCACAGGAAATGGCTTCAAAGCCTCAGCGACCAAAGTCAATAATCTAATTTTAGGGCCGAACAGCGATGACAATCGTGTGGCGCTCAAAGACAGAGCGAGCGCATTAATGCTAGGGTATTAACCCATTTTGATATGTTTCTGCAAGTGGCATGTAAGGTAAAACCACTTTGTGGTCAATTACCTTGATATCCATTAATTAGCCCAAAACTCTGCGCACAAAAGCTCAGTTTCCAAAAGGGGCTCCATCGCCCACAAGTCCTTTCATGTTCTCCCATTGTAATCATTAAAGTCACTCGAACATTTAACCGATAATTGGAATTGTACGCCGCATTTCATCAAAGGGGTTGAATTACTTTTGCCCAACTCCCACGGCTTCAGCAACCCTTTGACGCGTTGCTTGCACTGTGAAGAGTATAATTTGTAATTATCTACATAATTTACTTCTATCAGATGCTCAGCGTGAGCTGCAATGCTAAGAAACACCATTCAGGGTGTTATTGAGTGAATATTTGCTGAGAATTTCCGCACTCGCATGCTGTGTTGTGTGTGGTTGGCAAAGGTAGGAAAGGTTTCTTGTAATGAAATCTCCACTCACAAGCTTTAGTGTGTAGATTTGGCAACTTTCACCGCAGCTTTTGGTACTTTCCCCTTGTGTGTCGAGACAAAGTGGAGCACAGTTGTAAAGTTTATAAATTTAGAAGTCTAACATTTGTTGAATTTGCTGAACGTAGAGTGACGCGATGGAGCAGAATATTCCATTTACTCACACCACTGCAATCCCATTCTATTAGAATAGAATGCAAAATTGATTTGACTAAAAGCTCTCTCAGCATGATATGGATTGAAGTTTTGGTTTTTCCCCTGTTATTTATCGCCCTGACTGAGATAAATGGAAGTTGTAGTGAAATTGGATATTGATCATCGTCCTCTTGCTCATGCAATAGGCAATTGGGTGTCAGAGTGAATGTAATGCAAACTAAAAGCTCTCTCACAGGATAAGTCTTCTATATGTTTGAGGTTTATTAAATTCACATGAAGCATCCGGCGAAATTTCACCTGAGCAAATACTTGCTGGGCTGCAAAAGCCTAGCCCAGGAGAGCCGCAGAAATGCGCTAATGTTGCGCTGTGTGAAAAGGGTGGAAAAGCGTAGAAAAATTGCACGCTAGAGCTAAACACAAAATATTTGCGCGTGGAGTGAAATGCACTTGGTGGAAAATCCGTTGAATGCTAAATGGAATGCAAATGATGTCTATTGCTAGTGAAAATGGACAGCTGAATAAACACCATGGAAGACTGCTTGTATGCTCTGTATTTGAACAAATTATATTTCCAGCCAGTGCAAATAAACACGAAGGATTATCTCGCTCTTCAGGCTGAGCCGCATGACTTGAGTGTCTGCAAGCGACACAGAGTTTTCTTTGAAAAGGCAGCAAATTTGTAAATTTCTCCCTTGGATTGTAAGCAAATAGGAGAGCGAATCTCTTGAGGATTAATTTAAAGGGACATTTCTTCAATTTGAAAGTTTCTCACATTGCTTTTCAGAATCTGGTTGTTAACTTTCTACTCTTACAAGTTTACTGGAGAAGTTTTGCTGGTGGATCAATTCCAGAGCTTTCAATCACATTGAAGAGATTTTACAGCTTTGTCAGCATGGTAATTGCATTGCGCTTCCATTTGCATTGCGGACTAACAAACAGCGAGAGTGAGCATGAATGTGTCGACAGATGAGGTACGAAAGGAGCTTGAGAAGGAGTGAATTTCAAATATTTGTCGTGCAAATACACTGAATCATTTGTCTCAATATCATCCCAGTTGAAAAGATGCTGAGCATCAATGGCCTGGGTGAAATGGAGGAAACCTCCCAAGCCATTGTATGGTGAAAATGGTGATTTTCCTCTTCTCAGCACACACAGAGCGCCGGCATGAAGTTCCCGGGGTGAAATTTGCGAAAATTGATTGATCGTCATTTCCGTTTTTATTCAATTCAACAAGTCAATGGAAATTTGAATATGTCGGAGGTGACCTTTGGTTGCTTCAAGTTCTCCACTTTGGCTCTCAATTCCTATATAAACTCATCCGCTTCTGCCGCATTATCCCTTTCGCAAATTATTTCCTTTGCGTAAATTGGGATCCCTGACAAGTTCAACCCTCTCATGTCGCCAAAGGGTGATGCGTGAGCCTCTCCAATTGATATTTCTTTTAATCATTCCCATTTCGTCGCCCCTTCACGAGCGCAAAGGCTCTGGGGTTAACTGGGCTGAAATTGCCTAATTAAATTTTGCACTTTCACCTCATGAAATGACTCTCTTTAACATTCTGCTTCATTCACAAGAAAATTGTTAAGGGGAAGCATGTCAGTTTGTACATTTTGTAATATCATCAGTCATTCAGTATCAATTCTTGTAATTATTTAATGGATTCAAGCTTTATATTTAGGTTCTGGAATGTCATATTTTGCTAACAATAATTTCTGAATTAAAAATTCAAATTTAATGTATTTTGGGGGTGAGAAAAGCACGAGTTGTGAGAAGACGGAAAAAGGGTGGACAAAGTTGAAAATCAATAATTCAATAAATTATTGCAGAGTCCAATTATTAAATTATTAACGCTGTGACATTCAATTAATCATATTTCCCGCGGAACAGCGGGAGATTTAGCGATTGAAGAAGGGTCCAAAACATGCGAAAACAAGGGTGAAGTCTATCCCTTCTCACAACTTTTCTACCATAACACCGGTAATATTGTGACACATTTTCTTTCTCTCCAACCTCCCACGTTGAAAAAGTTGGACTTGAGACTTTACGAAGAAAGATCTGCAAAACACCAAGAAATATATTTTTTGAAAAGTGTCTCGGCATCTCTTTGGGGACTTCTTTGGCAGGTAGGATAAAATTTTAAACGTATACATATAAGAAAAAAGACTTGTAGAAAGTCACTTTCTGATGAATTTCTCCAGACGAGAACGTTGGAATAAAATTCGTCTTTGCGACAAGTTGCAAAAGAGGGTATTAATTAACTTTTGAAAAGATGGCATGTGAGCAGAACTTCCTCACTAATAAATTTATTAATGATACTCAGTCCGTGAAGTGAAACTTTTCGCCATTCTCATGCGAGAGAGTCTCTGGGATTCGAAAGTTCTATGCTTGTGCGGAAATCCAGCCACTCTCGTCATGGCGCAAGGTCAGGTGGAAAATTTGCTTCGTGACCAAAAATCCCCAGTAAATTGGCACATTGAGGAGCTTTTCAACTTCCACGTTCATCTCCGATCCATTTCATGACTCAATTGTTTGTGATTTTCCCCAAGAATGACTCGACATGGATGTTTTTCCTAACGCTTCACTTCGTCAGTTATTGATATTATGAGCATATTTCGAGCTATATTTTCGACTTTTTTTCCCCTCCAACAACTTCTTCCTGTTATCCATATGAGCGACAAAAATATCCTCTTTGTCTCCCAGAAA